TCTTTACCTGCCCCCACCTCGGCAGATAGGACAGCTACGGTGAGGATGATGTGGATGTTCACAAGGATATATATATATCGTCACAAATAGAACTGCCCGGTAAACCGTAGGCAGAGAGAGAGAAGAGGACAACAAACGAGGGGCTGTGACAAACTGTTTCGTCACAAGGATATATATATTGTCACATTGTGAATCAGAGCGCAAAAAAGGGGAAAGAAAAAAGGAAAAGGAAAAAAGGGGAAGGGGAAGGAGGTAAGGAAAGCTCCACCTGTTCATAACCTCTTACGTACAAGGCCAGCCACGTGGATGACAGGTTGAGCGCTGGCTGCCCCCATCCCCGTGTGTCACAAGGACCCACTTGCACGCAGCCAAAAGGCAAAGAGGTAAAGAAGGGGAGGAGGAAACCTATATATATTTTTGTGACAATATATATATATCGTCACAAACAGATATATATTGTACTATTTTTAGAACTTCCGCCTGAGAGTTGACTTACCGCAGTGAGTGGTGGAAAAGGAGCCCGGGGGAGAGGTCACAGCAGCAGAGAGGTGGATTGAACGCCTGAATCTGGACGTGTTTGTCGAAAGTTGCAGAAATCTGCGATTGATCTGCTTTTCTGCATCCATTCATAAAAATACGGCCGGATTCAGGTGCTTAATCCAATCCTCTTTGCTAGTACGACCTCGCTCCTGGGCTGTTACTGCTCGTCAGAATTCATAGGAGGCTTGGCATCATGCCAAGTTTGCAAAAAAAAGAAAAGAAAACAAAAGGATTGCTATATTAGGGGATAAGTATGCTCCCAGTGTAAGGTCCGCCCTCATGTGGGTTTTTGTATAATAACATGCTTTCACTCTGGAAACAGGAAAAAAAAAAGCTCCCACTGCCAGAGGATGGAAGACGGACAAAGTAAGATAGAAACGCCGCCGGGAGTGCTCTTTAACAAAAAAAAAAAAGAAGGAAAAAAAAAGAAGCAGAAGAAGAAGAAGCCAAGCGGTTTTCTGGTCCCTCTTCCTTCTCTCCCATTCGCAGCAGCGACTCTCCCTTTTTTTTCTTCTTCTTTTTCCTCTCCCTTTCTCCGCGCATTTCCTCAAAACAATGAATATTTCAAAAAAAAAGAGATCCCAGCGAACCCAATTCCCTCCATCAACAAAGATATACCAAAAACCCTCCCTCCGCTCCCCTCTCCGATTCATAGCTGCAGATGTCCTCTTCTCTTCCCCGACCGCTCTCACAAGAACAAAATTCGATTCAATCCTTCAACAACGAAATAAAAAACCCTCCTCTTCTTTCCCTAAACCTCATTCCCCCCCTGCCCTCCCCCCCCCCACTTCTTCTTCTTCTTCTTCTTCTTCCT